AGAGAGACATTTCTGATAAACAGGCAATTAAAAAGAGAGGGCGACATTTACACTAGAGACTTACTCTATTAAATCCTTTGTAAATACATTTTCACTTAACCGAGGAGCAACATAAACTAATACTACATTGGTGCCTAAATTGCATCAAAAAGCTTGCAGATGCAGAAGACACTCTGGGCATGACATCAAGAGAGATCAGGGTATCCACAAATTCTCTGATGAGTGTATGTGGGCTAATTGTAGGGGCCAGCAGCAGGCTGCACAATGGTCTCTCTAGCTGCCTTCTCAGGGACACAGATTGTACCCCAGGGGCTTTTCTCCTTGGAACCCACAGGGAGAACTGGGTTCAAAGGTTCCACACCAGAGGACAAGGATTGCCTGCATTTGATTTAAGCCTCTTTGAGCTGTGTTCTCACGCACTGTGACGTCAGCAGAACCCCAAGACTGAATTATAGCTTTACATTCAATCAGGAATCATGTATTATTCCCTGTGTTATCCATCACTGCTTCCCCTCTGCTCAGAAGACAGAGTGACAGCAATACACACAATGGGCAAGCACCTGAGGTGCTTTAAACCTATCAATAATAAGCATCGTTCTCAGAAAGATTTTGCTCAGTGGAAAAAGCAGAATGGAACGGCCTTTCCAATGACCAGCGGAGGCTTTGAAATTGTTTCCCATTAAATGTGCAAATTCTGAAGTCGCAGAATTCAGCCGCCACCTTGTTTATGTCCTAAGCATTTAGTTTAGAATCAAAAAATATATCTATTCATATTAAATATAAAACGATTATTGGACATCCTGTCTCTCATATTTAACTGCATAACAAACACTAAAATTCAATCTATGGAAAATAAATGAGTTGGTAGTGAGTCTAATGTTCGTGTTTAATCAGAAAATTACATTTGGAGTACTTGAAGGCATATTAATTGAAGTTTATCAAGAAGGCAGTAAGTATTTAGACACAAACACAAATGTGAAATATATCAATACTTATGCCTGTAATTATCTATCACTGTTGCCTTATGATTGCAATGCCTTTAAATAAAATGAAACATAATACCTGCTTGGGCCATTTTAAACATTATAAATGCTAGGTATAGGTATTTTTATTTTATTTTTCCTTTTAAACCTGATTGAGCTATACATGAAGAATATACACTTGCTATTAGTGAATGAGGGCACTAGTAATTGATATTTAGTCCTTCCTCTATTATTAGCTACACATTTCTGAGCTTAGAATGAATATAAAACATTATTTTACCCAGATTGATTCTTTATGTAAATAATTAGAGAAAATGATATCATAACAGTAGGACATGATTACAAATCAAATAGAGCAACGACCAACTTTACCCTTAACGCGTTTTCCCATGTTTAGCCTCCATGGAAATGCAATGGAATTGGCTGATATTTGTGACATCTGATTGTATCACCCATGGGCAAGTGTTGGTTTGGATTTCTCAATATGGGAGCTAGGATTCTTTTTTTTACTTCCTTAGCTGTGTCTTTACCATTTCTTTCTCTCAGTGATCTAGGTATCTTGCCTTCTTTTAAGATCCCTGCCCAAACCCATCCAACATGGGGTCTGAAATAAAGCTGTGAAAAATTTGGCAATCTCCCAACATCTGAGCATTTGTACTTATGGAGTGTTTAACTCTTAGAAGTGTAATTGAATTTTTATGCATTTACTGGACTTTGGGCAGAGTGTGATCAAGGTGCCGTCCATTCAGAGTCTGAGACCAGCACCTTTACTAGGCTCAGCCTGTCTTATGATGAGGCAGGAACATCAGGTTCCTGAGGCATGTTTCCCTCAACTCCCCACAGACAGGGTATGGTGTGTTTGGGGTCGGGGGTAGCTGCCAAGTGCTCACTCCTGTTCAGGAACTCTGCTGAGTCCTTGACTTCCATCATCTCATTTAATCCTCATAATTGCCTGGACAAGTGAAAATTCTTGTTGTTTAAAAAATGAGGAAACTGAGGCATGAAATTGTTATATATAACTTAATCAAGATACTAATACAGAAGATAACTAAAATGAGAACTAGAAGACATAACTTGGGTTAGAAATGACATAGTTGGAACTTACACCCAGGACCATAGGCTTCCAAATGCACTTTGTACTACACTGTGCTACCTTCTCTTTGAATACTATGCCATGAATCTTCCAAGAGCCTACACATTACATCATGGGTTACCCCCATATACACAAAATCATGGGTTAACTATTGGACCCATGGTACCCTGCTTTTCTAATACTTTTCTTTGGGGGAGGATCAGAATATTTTATTAATTTATGTCAGAATCCTGGGTGCTGAATCTCATCCAAGTTTTCATTCCTTTTGCATATATGCTATCACATATTCTTCTCACTACCTTTTATTCATTTACACAAGGTTCCTCACTAGAACTCAAATCTTTGCCAAGAAGTACAGCATAGTAGTTATAGAGCTTTCAAGGCAAACAGACTAGGTTCAGAACTAAGCTCCCCCACTTATTACTCAACCTTGGGCAAATTGCTGAAGTTCTTTAAGTTTCAGTGTTTTCACCAATAAAACAAAGATAATGATGTAGCTATATGCACATTAGATGAGAAGGCACAGGCAACCTGGTACCTAAACAACCTGTAAGCACTAGTTACTGATGTCTTAGGCTTTAACTTAAGACCACACTAAGAAGGCTCATGAGCTATAAATTCCATTTCTCTCCTTTCTATTGAATTAACTAGAAAGTAATTAAGATCCAAAGACCAAACAAGGTCCTTTCCTAGGATTAGGCCAAATGATAGAGTCACAAAAACTTAGAGGAGAGATCATTTTAGTTATGCCTTCAGTCCTGCTGTGATTATCAATTTTCTGTTACTATAACGAATACCTGAGATAATCAATTTATAAAGAGAAAAGATTTATTTTGGATCAGTTTTAAAAATTTCAGTCTCTTGACTGGTGGGCCCCATTGCTTTAGGCCTGTATGTACATCAAGATTAGAACATGTGGCATAGCAAAACTATTTGCCTCACAGCAGAAACACAAAAGAGACAAGAGGAAAGGGCCTGGGTTCCACTATTCCCTTCAAGGGCATGCCCCCAATGACCGGAAGATCTCCTACTAGGCCCAATCTCTTAAATCTTCCACCACCTCTCAATAGTGCCAAGCAGAGTGTGTGTGTGTGTGTGTGTGTGTGTGTGTGTGTGTGTAGGGGGGGTATTATCCTTTAACACATAGGTCTATGGCAGACATTTCAGGTCCAAACCATAGCACCTACCATTAGTGAGTTTGGGCAAGACACTCTCCCCACTTGTCCTTTCATCTTTCCTTCTCTGAAACAAGGGAGATCACTTTGCCCCTGCAGGTTTCTGCCAGTGTTAAATCTGTGAAGCACCCAGGTAATGAGTGAGCCCTTGCTTCTGAGAGCTTGTAATTTCCATGCTCCACTTGAACACCATCACCCAGCCCAGGAAGCCAGGAACCCAGGCCATTCCTGAACTTTGCACTTGAATGCCCAGAACAGCTGCTAACACCCCCACCCAAGCCCCACACCTCCTTAATCTGGAATCCTCATTAGTTCCAACTGCAGGCCATCTATTACCTTATGCCCATAATGGGAGTTAATTTCTGTTGGGATCAGATGGTCTTCCCCCTGGAAATTTTTATTCATATTTCTTTCCTGTTTTGTGATTTTCAATTGGAGTTTTCTAATAACAGATCATTTCTTTTTGTCTAACTTTAATCTGGTCCTGCTTGACAAGCCCCATCCTTTTCATTGAAGGGTAAGACCACTTAAAGGAAGGCCAATAAGCCCTTGCGCTGCTCGGCCGGCTGGGGTGATTTGTCACCCTGTGCAGTGGTGGTCACACCAATGGATTTATCTCAAGGTAAATGGAGATGCTGAGACCCGGGACCCGGAGCTTTGATTAAGGCGCCCTTTTTGTAGTGTTGATAGATGTTGCTTGTGTTTATCTATTTGAAATGCCACTAAATCTGTGAATACAATGGAAAAAGAGAGTACTTTGCCGCTGAAAACATATTAGTGATTTATGTTTCAGTAAGAAGCACAATAAAGAGACAGAGGCTATTAAGAGCAGCTATTTTCATGAGAAATAGTTCTGCTTTAAAACATTATTAACCCCACCTTGATAAAGACTTACATGCATGCATAATCATGTTTACTTACCCCTTTAGTTTGGTGTGATATGCATTGGAAGCACACATTCTCCAAATATTAATAAGTTAGTCAGCAGAATATTTACAGCAGAAGACACTTCACCCAGGACCGTTCTGCATGTAAATTTCCCTCTCTCAGGATAAGGACACATAATAAACTTATCTAGGGAGCTTTGGAGTTTATATGGACTTCATATTGCTCAAAGCACTCTCAAATCCTTCTCACCATCATTTGCTGGAGCTCCCCCACCCCCCTTTGCACTGTAGTAGAAATAACCAGTGGGGTGACACATAAAGATTATAATGCATGGATATAACTTATAACATGAATCAATGTCATCAAGACGCACCCATTTAAATGAATAGGGTCAGATGAGAGTGCTGTATCACCCTGACTTGTGTGACAGTTACAAATGCATCACCTCGTATGCATAATAGGAGTGTACAAACCAGAAGAGATTTGTAAACTTGGTTCATTTCAAGCAGAACTGACCTGCAGGAATGGAAACAAGAAAAAAGGCAACTGGGTTGGAGCTGTCTGGAAAGAAGTGATTCTTGTTTGGCTGTTTCACAAAACCCTAACGAGGATTTTGTGTCCTCTAGCTTCACCAGGGAACTTAGGGCAGACCAAATCAGCCACAGCTCGCTGGCTGTGTATTGACTTCCCTCCACTTTTAAAAGGGTGCAGCGCTTGCACGTGTAGGGGTGGGATATGAGCGTGGTGCAGGGAGTGGGGCTCAAGCTTTTGGGGGGAGGGTTCCGTTCTTACCAAGTCTGGAAAAAAAAAGAAAGAAAGAAAGAAAGAAAGAAAAGAAAAGACAAAACCAGACGAGTTGGGCCTGTCAGAGTTAACCACGTTCACAGAATGTAATTAAGTGCCGGGAAGGTTCTGTGCTGTGTTCTCTGATTTACTGCTTCGTTCCGGGGACGGCTCTTCCACGGGGCGAACGCTGTGGGGTCGGGGCGCCGGGGGAGCCGAGATGGGGCGGCGGGCGCCTGTTCCGATCCCGGGCTGGGCGCTCGGGTCTACGGCTTGGCACCGCCGCGCGCCGGGTGGCGAGCGCAACGCGCTCAGCGGAGGCCACACCTGCACCTCATTTGCTTGCGAGCAGCGCCATAACCCGCCTGCTGATGGGGCGCCTTCTCTTTCATTCTCCGGATTATGACAAGTTATTAATTGCCGCCATTAGCCGCAGCAGCCTGCGCGAGATCTCTGCTGCTCTCTGGAGGTGAGTAACCGCGCATCTGAATGCCGAGGGAAGAGGCGCCGAGCAGCGCGGGGCAAACGGAGCCACAATCTGCCCAAAAGGGATTGTGAGATGGTGAATAATTTATTAGAAAACATTTTTCTTTGTCCTTCCCACAGACCCACAAATCCTCCCCAAGCGCTCTTTACCAGCCTTGCAGATAATGTACTTACACATCTCAGAGCCTGCTAAATAGACTGAAGAGGCCGTGGGGTTCACCCTCCACACTGCGGCTGCCCGGGCCCTGCACACCCAGCCGCACTGCCTCGGCCAAGGGCCTGCTGATGGAGGCGAGGTAATTAGGCGGCTTGGCGGAGGCCGATTGCAAAAGCTGCTGCCCTGACCGCCCCGCCTCCTGCTTCCCATGCAGAACGCGATACCCGCACGCACGCTTCGCGTTTGCACCGAACCCCTCAATCCCATTCCAAACCCCAAGCACTGACGGAGCTGCCACGACGACAGAGAGTTGTTCTGTCCCTCACACCTCCTGGACGGCCACCTCCACGGCCGCACGTGCATTCATTTCACAGACAGAATCCCTAGGATCCGCTGAAAAGGATGCAGAGGGCAAAGAGCCAGGCCTTGACCGCAAAGTTAAGTAGCGGATACATTCAGGTAGATGGTGATTGCAATGTAGGTCACCAGAGGGCCAGGTTCTGGGTGCTGTGGTCCTCTGGTCCTCGATTTATGGAGGCAGGCACGTTGGGGTTGGATCTCATGGCGGGAGTAAAACTCATGCCCCCCTTCTACTCTTTCCAACAACAGAGCAGACATTTTGCTAACATTTCCAGGCAACTTTTTACAAAGAAGATATCATCTGGGATGGCATTCTCAGCAAAACCACCAATTCAAGATGTTTATTTCCTCTGCTTAGGGATTCCCAAGTCACAATTTAGTTTAGATCCTCGGTTGGTGGAGACTGCTCCACTTCTATGGACAATTGAGAGATGGCTCAGTGGTTGATATCAGCGTCCTTTTGTGTAGAGACCAACGAGGGTTCTGCCTTGAGAATCAAGGAGGTGGGACAGGAATCAGAAACATCATGGCTCTGGAGGGACAAAGACAGAGGCTACAGTAACAACCCCAAAGGGTTCATCCCATAGGAAAAAGAGCTTCCTGGGGCATGGTGAGGGAGGGAGGTAGGAAGGAGTTTCCCTGCGCTGCAGGCTGAGTCATCTACCCAAAGTTACCAGCCTCTCTGTGCTACTCCTCTGCTCAAAAGCCTCTACGGCTCCCACTGCCTTTGGGATAAATACAAAGATGTTTGTGGTTGATTGAACTTCTGTGGGCTTCTATAGCCTTGTTTTATTTCCCTCCTTTCTCCCCACCCCAACATGCATAACCATTTGAGTACATTCAACAACATGCACACCTCACACCTGTGGTGCATATGGGCACTCAACCAGACTGCCTATTAGGGCAAATCATATTTTTAAAATACCATTCTTCCAGGTCAAAACCAGTGTGATGTCAGTGATCTCATCTTAGTCAACTGAAAAAAACACTTTCATCTTTTGTACTTCTTCTTGCCTTCCTAGCTACCCAAAATACCTTTCTTTGCCTGTCAAACTTACACCATCCTTCAAGACTCAGTTTACAGGAGTTCCTAGACTTGCAATGGGATTCTATCCTGATAAATTGGAAATATCATTAAATCAAAAGTCCACTTAATACAGTTAACCTACAGATCATCAGAGCTCAGCAACACAGTAGTTCACTGTAGGTATCAGTTGTTTACCTCCAGATCATGGGACTGCCTGGGATGTGGGGCTTGCTGCTGCTGCTGTCCAGCAATGTGAGAGAGTATCCTGCCACATGTGACCAGCCTGGGGAAAGAGAAAAACTCAAAATTTGAATATGGTTTCATCATAAAGCCGAAAAACTATGTCAAATCATCATAATTCAGAGGCTAACTGTATTTAGACATTTCCTCAGGGAAGCCCTCTTTGACATCATGTCCTCCTCCCCACACTGGCCTTAGATTTGAGGGTACTCTTTTGCATTTCCAATGCACTCTCCACATACGATTTTTTTCATACTCACTGTAAGAGTAATTTCATCTTCTACCCTTTCTAGTCTGGGTCTTATTTGACTGTATTCCTAGAACCTAATCCAGTGCTGCATATGATAGGCCCTCAATAAAAGAATGATGAATGAATGAGGTGAGTTAGTGAGAAGATGGATGCACCAAGTACCAGGGGAAAGATAAGGAATTGCAGAGAGGGGAGCTGGGGCAGGAGTTCAAGAAGATTTATAAGAAGATTTATACAGTAGATGAGAAGGAAGAAATTTTCATTGTATTAGGAGGTCAGGCAAAGTGTTGGGAAGTAGTTCAGGGATTTTTGTGAGATGGTGAACAGACTCCCCCCAAAAATCTATGCTATTTTTAAAAATTTTTTTATTGTTTTCCCTTGAGTATATCTTCCTGGAATATAGGAGACCCTCAATCAATAGTTGAGTTAAGCAAATAAGAAACGAATATTTGATATCAGTTTTCCCTAAAGGTAAAGCAATTAAGTAACAATAGGAATAAATTATTATTTAGTCTGAATTTATATTAGTTTATTTAATTCCTACAACAGTGAAAATTTGAAAATGGGAAAGCTGAGGCTCAGAGAGCTAAAGTGTCCTACTCAGGATCACACAACCAATGAAAGAAAGGGTCAAGCCCAGGTCTCTCCCATTCCAAAGCCTATGGTCATGCCATCCATGCTACTGATAAACTGTGGCTTCTCCTTTCACAGAACTCTTCATATGCTAGAGAAATAGTCATATCTTCTCAAAAGATCTTGAAATAGCACAGTTGGAATTGGGGCTAAACATGTGACATGAGTATTCTTCTAAGCCAAGGCTTCTATGATGACACCATGGTATTTTCCTCTTTAAAGACCTAAAATCCCATTAAGTGATGCTCTGAGACATATATTTGCAGAGTCTTGTTGGATTCATTGAGTCATCCAGCAAATCTTCAGTCAGTGTTTATTTATGTGCCATGCTTTGTACTGGCTCAGGGGATGTGGTGGTGCATCCCTGCTTTCCTAGAGGACTGCTCAGATTCCAAAGAGATGACATCACAGCTGCAGGTGCCAGATGGGCATCTTAACTGAGAATGAATCAAGCAAAGATGAGATACAACGAGTTGCCTGAATTTTTGGAGTATGAATGTTGTAATGACAAGCATGATGAGTGTTCCAATTCTCCTGCTGTTATTGACAGCCCCCTTGTTATGGGTAAATTTCATATTGAATAGAGGATCACACATGTGCAGAAGACTAATATCTCCAAAACTGACATGATCCTGAAGACCTATTAATCTATTTATTTATTTAGCCAAGACATTTTGAGCACTGACATGAGTCAGGCCCATGGCTGGAGTCAGGCAGTTCCCACCAACCAGTCTCTGGTTTTAGGGGCTCACAGACCACTGTGGGAGATGGTCTAGTATGTAAAAAACATAACTGTATGATTGTCCACTTGCCTGGGAAGGTATTGTTTTAGAAAAAGAGAAAAAGAAGAAGCTACTAGTCCAGGCACGGGAGGGTGCAGGGAGTGTGAAGATGACAGAGTGCTTAGCTGGGTCCTGAGCCCCTGAGGATGAACAGGGCTCACAACTGTAGGAGGAGTGAAGGAGAGCCTCACCCATAGGAAGGGAAGAGGGAAGAAACTTTAAGTGCTCAAGGCCTTGGCACTAAAGGAAGACTACTGGGTATTTGGAATTATTCAGTCACTTATCCATTCATACAAAAAAAACCCAATACCTTACTATGATGTTATGGACTAAATGTTTAAACTCACTTCTCCACCAATTCATAGGTTAAAGCCTTGACCTCTGGTGTGACTGTATTTGGAGTAAGAAATTAAGGTTCAATGAGGTCATAGGACTGATCACATAGGATTAGCAGGCTTTGAGGAAGAGACACCAAAGAGCTCATTCTCTCTTCTGCACACAGACTGAGTAAAGGCCATGTGAGGACATAGCAGGAGGTGGCCCACAGAATTACAGGAAAAAAGTTTTCACCAGAAACCAACTATGTTGGCAACTTGACTTTGGACTTCCAGGATTCAGAAATGGGAAGAAATAAATTTCATTAGTTTAAGCCACCCAGTCTATGGTATTGTGTTATGACAAACCAAGAATATTCTACATGCCCCTAGCACTGTACCCAGCACTGCATGATCAAAGACAAGACTACTCACTGCCCTCAGAAGCTGATGGCTACGTGTGAGACTAATCAATAGATGAACAGTGCTTACCCAAGGAAGCATTCTGGTGGATTTGATGATTATCTGCTTGAAATAATCATTATTTTATCAGGTGAATAATTATATCTGTTCTTAGTTAAGCATATCAATAGCTTGCAGGATTTGATGTGAGAGCTGCTAATGCTGTTTGCCAATATTTCAATTTCTTTTCATCCTCAGAAAATTCTCTGCACATTTGGAAGTTATCTGGGGCTGTGTGATTTGATTTAAAAAAAAAAAAAAAAGAATTGTGAACAAAAGTGACAGGTGTCACTTGCCGGTAGGAACCTTTAAGAACCAGTGAATGATCTGCCAAGTTTTCATCTCCTACATGGCAACCATCAACACTCCAGGTGAGGAGACTTCATTAACCCTCATCTCTGAGAGAAGCAATCAGAAGTAGATAAAGAACTGGCAGCCCAAGAGACAGATCTTTAGTGTTTTAAGCTACTGAGGTTTGGGATCTATTTGTTATTGAGACACAATATAGCCTCACATGACCAATACAAATAAAGAGTGAAAGGTGAGTCATATTCTTGCCCTGATAGACATTTTGGTAGATGTTGGTTTTGCCACTTACAGCCCTAAGAGCGACCTACTAACAGGGATCAAGAGACTGGATTTCCTGTTCTGCCTGGGTGTTGTGTTTATCTACCATCAGCTTATAAAATACATTAATGGATTTTCTTACAAGCAATAAGTATAGGATTTTGCTTCTTTGTCTACCTTTTTGGTGTTTTATCCTTCATTCTTTGTGTAAAATCTGTTAGCAAGGAGACTCCCATTTGAAGATGGGTTCTTTAGAGACTTGGGTTCCAAGGGTATGGCTTTCTAATTTTTTTAAAATATATATATTTTTAGTTGTAGACAGACACAATACCTTTATTTTATTTATTTGTTTTTATGTGGTGCTGAGGATCGAACCCAGTGCCTCACATGGGCAAGGCAAATGCTCTAACAACTGAGCTAGAACCCCAGCCCTGGCTTTCTAATATTCCAGAAGAGTTTGCCCTTTCACGTCCTATACTGACCCCAAGAGTAGAGGGAATGTATTGTTCTAAATCCTGGCTTTACTACCTGCTAGTCACGTGGCCTTGGGTAAGTTGCTTAATCTTTTCAAGCCTCAATTCCTCACCTGTAAAATGCAAATAAAATAATACCTATTTCATGGGGGACGTTTTGGGAATTAAATGAGAAAATGTACATAGACCTTAATAGATAGTAATTATGATTATTGGTAGTGTTGTCACTATTTTTTTTTTTTTTGGTACCAGGGATTGAGCCCAGGGGCACTTAACCACTGAGCCACATCTCAAGCCCTTTTTATTTTGTATTTTGAAACAGTGTCTCACTGAGTTGCTTAGGATCTTGCTGAGGCAGGCTTTGAACTTTCGATCCTCCTGCCTCAGCCTCCCAGCTGCTGGGATTACAGGCATGCATCACCACATCCGGCTGAGCTAACTATTATTGTTCCATCAGGATAGACTCAAAACCAGTGTCAAAAGATCTTATCACAAAATCCATGAACATTCTTGGACAGTTTGCACATGGATCTGCTGGGAAAGGAGTTTGGAGAAAATAACCTTCCAGCTTGTGCCCAAAGATCATTATCCTCCGGCAGCACAGAGCTCCCCGAGGGAAACAAAGCATCTCGGAAAGGTTCCAGTCCAGTGGGAGTCCTGCCAAGGGGGGACCTGGGTCAAAGCTAGTGTGTCTCAGGTCCTGGGAACTAGCCTTCTTGTATGGCTTCTCTTTGAGATATTTAGCAACTCACTCTTTAGAAAAAGATTATCTCCTTTTTGAAAGTAACCTGACCACCTGTCAAAACTGGACTTGTGAGAGGAATTGAGAAGCTAACCCCGGGCACTCTGGCCCGGCGCGCATTTGGGTAATTACGCTGGCACTATCTTCTCTACTCCACATCAACTTGGCTTCTAGTCCCAGCCCTCTTCTGAGACTCTGATGATGTGACTGAAGAGCTTCTGGGATCTGCCCAGGTCAGCCAAGGAAGGAAGAAGTGTGATTGACACAGAAGTTCTGCCATGACCGCTTGTGGTCATGGAAATGATTTGTCTATTTGAGGAAAAGTGGCAACTAAGAAGAGAAGAAAAACAGAAAGAGTATTAAACATTCTACCCTACTTCCCTGCCATCACAGAACATACTCGAACACAGGGCTTTAAAAACCATTCTTTGATAAACTTCTAAAGGAGTTTACCAAGTGTCAGGCCTTGGGCCATGGGCCAGTGACACAACGATTCATAAGGACATGCCTTTCCCTACAGGGAGCTCCCAGTCTTTTGATCATTCAGCCACCCACAACCTACTTATGGATACAAACCATGTGCCAGGTCCCGTAGTACTTGGTATGGAACGATGGACAAAATAGAAGGCTAAATGCACTCATGGTGGCCGATCTATAAAGGGTGAACACAAACGTGCATACAATAATGAACTGTTTTTTTTATGTCTGCAAAGGAAACATTGGGAGCATAACAGAGGATATATGACAGAAACAAATACATACTGGCAGAGCATAGGAAAGATGTCAGAGCAGAAACATCAGTGTACTCACATTCTGCCTGCAGATTTGGACTGGTGCAGGAAGGAGCAGACCTCATATGAAAACCCAGATGATCAGGAATGAAATAAATTAATAAAGATACACCACAGGTGTATTTTTGCCACATACAAACCACTAGGGATCTAAAATCCCAACTTAGAAATTCAAGTCAGGAGCAGTGGTGTCCACCTGTGATCTCCAGCTACTCAGAAGGCTGAGGCAGGAGGATCACTAGTTTGAAGCTAATCTGGGTGACTTAGCCTTAGTGAGACCCTGTCTCAAAATAAAACATGAATAAAAAGGGCTGGGGATGTAGTTCAGGGGTAGAGTGTCTCTGGGTTCAATTCCCAGTACCCAAAATCAGTCAGTCAATCAATCCTGAATTAGTAAATATTTCATTTTATGGTGTTTCTGTAACTGTCTACATAGACCAATCATTTTATAAAGCATTTGTTCTACAAATATTGAAATATTGTATTGCATTTTCATGAATCCAGCATTAGCACATCTAGCCTCCTCCTGCAGGCTCTCTCTAGCTGCTCCACACCACCCACCTAAGACTCATGGGTCTTCTGTGATTTTTTTTTTTTATTCCACAATTCCCTATACATGTCTCATTTTTTCTCTTTTATAATTATTGATTTGCTTTGCTTTGCTCCTCATGATTGTCAACATCCTGAAGACAAAGACTATCTTAATTGTCTCTGTAGGACTAGGGCTTAGCAGTTTTAGCTTGGGTTTCCTCAGAAACAGGCCCTAAGACAAGCATTCAATGTAAGTAAGTTTATCTGGGAGCAGTCTCCAGAGAGCACTAGGAGAGGGGCAGCAAGGAGAAATGGGAGGGAAAGAAGCTTATGAGGAGTATGCTGTCAAGCAAGTCACCAAGTCCCCTCTGGAGAACTCTGGGAGACCAGGTGGAACATGCCCAGCACTGTCCCACTGAGGGTGAAGAAGCTGATATTTATTTACCCACCAGCTTCCCGGCTGGTGCTCCCAGGGGCATGAACCTACCAGCATTTCTGGTTTACTCTCCTCACAAGTCAAGCCCCAGAAAAGCCCTCACTCAGAAGTGCTCCAGTGAGCAACCTTCAGAATGTGGAGGTGAGTGCCAAGAGGATGGGGGGAGAGTCCAATGAGCATCCCAAGGGCAGCTCGGGAGGCTTTGGTGGCTCAATATAACAAAAAAGCCAAGCAGCCCACATTGTGAAGGAACAGGTTTAGTAGGGCTCTGTGGGCAGGCCTCACACTACTGCCAAAGCATGGAGCCTGCAATGGAGAGTTAGGTGTGGGGGCAACCCCAGCCCACTTGTGGGGATGTTTGTTTCTACAGCAGTCATGGACAGGATCTCTGTGAGGAGCACAGTGTGATTTTAACCACCCCTCTGTCCTTTGACCAGCTCACATGGAACCAAATCTTCAGCTAGTGGCGTGATTCCATCTGTGTTTTCTTTCCTGCAGGTGCTGAGGGGCTCAAGTACACACCAGCTAATAATTGTCACTTTCTGCAAGGATATGAATCATAGCAGCTGCTGCTTATGAATGATATCTTGTAGCAATGCATCCAACTCCTTTAACTTACACATGATCCCCAAAGTCCTCTTCCTTTGTCCTTCCAAAAAGAGGACAACTAACCTCCTTGAACTTCCCCCATATTCTGGTTGCCCTTTCTGTGTAAAAGTGAAAGTGATGATATTGGTCTGGGACTTTCCCTGAATCAGAGCTTTGTGGTGAAACATATATGAACAACCTCAGTCAGGGCCTAAACCAATAAAATTTTATTTATTATACCCTATATCTTCAAGAATTAAGACTCCAGGAAGTAACACAGTAACTGCAGTGTATCCAATGTGCTCATTCCTGTAACTCCAGTGTGGTGGGTGGATAAGAAGACAGACTCCACCAGGTGCCTAGGTTCTGCACCTCCATTTCCTCATCTGGAAAGTAGATATGGTCGCAGTTCCCACCTCCGAGGGTTGAGAGGAGGACCAGATGAGCTTCTCTGTGTAGAGCAACAACGCCCAGCTCTGTAAGTGGTTTCCAGCACATTAACAGACATTGGGGAACCAAAGAACAATTTGATTTTTTTGACAGATATTTTTGAGGACCAACTCTGTGCCAGTCACTGGGCCAGGTGTGGTAAGGCAACCATGAACAAAATAAATCCTGGCCTAGTCCCGAGCTTCCCTTATACCTGTGGAACACCGACGGCCATGATGACCGAAGACACCCTGCTGACCCCTCAGTTGGGGTCTGGGGAGGCTTCCTGGAACTGAGGGTTGTAACCAGGCAAAGGGAGTTCCAGGTTCCAGACATGATTGGCATGGGCCGGTTCTGGAAGAACTGGAGCGGAGTTAACAGAAACCCAGTGGACCACTGTGGCTATGGAGTAGAGAGCAAGGGGGTGAGAGAGTCTGGGGCGGGGGGGACAGCAAGGAGGCAGGCATGAAGGGTGTCATGGCATTTTTAAAGTGTTGCACTCTCTCTTGGGAACAATGGGGTGCGGGGAGGGAGGAAATGCCTCCTGTTCAGCCTTTACTCTTGCTTGACACTTCTCTCATGAGGTCTTACATGGCAATCGTTGACAGTACAAGGTACACACAGACGTCTCCCCAATCATATTTTAAACTCCTTGCCCGGGGAAAAACCATGGGTCGTTCTTTTTTTAATCTTCCCTAGCCAGTGGCAGCCTTCTTAGTAATCAGGCCCCAAGTAGCCATGTATTAGCACCTCTGCATAGACCGAGTTCCAGTGTTATTTCCCACCATCTCCCAGGGACCCCGACTCCCTCCTCACCCTTCTCTAATCCTGAGGTTATAAGCCCTGAGGTTATAAGCACCGTTCCTGGGATACCTGCTCCTAAACTCCCCTTGTGGTTCCCTATGACAATGCTGTTGTCACTCACCCCAAACCAATGGCTTTCTCTAGGCCAACTATTGCAATTTTTTTACTCTCTAGAGAGGAATAGCAACAGGTTGGGGGTCACCCACACTTGAGCCTGAATCCCACCTCCTAGCTGTGAGGTCTTAAGAAAGTTACTTAATCCTTTGGGGCCCCCTTTCTCTCATCTATAAAATGATCCCGATAAAACCTACCTATGAGATGTTGGTTGTGAGGATCAAATAAGGGTCAGAGAACTGAGATGCCCCTTAACTGTTGGTACCCATGTCCCTGCCAATAGACACGGCATGCATATTTCCAAGTCCTAGGCTCTCTATGACCTTATTTTCTTTGGGGGTAACTGAGTCGATCCTCAGAAATCTTGTGAAATAGTTAGTTAGGTTCAATGGCAGATAATTTCTGGGCACAAAGCATTCCGAGATTCAACCTGCATGGGGGCTATTCGCATTCTAAGCTGCTGAAACAGTGTTCAAACTTACCTGTGTACTCCCAGACCGAGGAGACACATCAGCAGCCATCACTAATGGAGAGCGAGCAACTCTAAAGTTGTTTTTCCTCTAGAGCAACATGTGTCTAGCATCCAGAACAATTAGATCCTATTTGCCAGGCCAAATTTCCATCAAGACACTGATGAGTTCTGAACCCCTGGAGCTTTGCTCAAGTCACTGATGGAAACAGCAGCCGCATCCAAGCTCTTTGATGGAATCATGACCTTATAATTAGTATGAGTCCATTCATTAGCATGAGCCTGGGTGTGTGTCTGTGCTAGAAAGAGAGCAAGGAACAAAGAGAGCAAGGAACAAAGAAACAAATTTAAAAAGTGCAAACTAAGAAGAGAGATTAAAAACACTTCAAACTCAGAAATACAATACAGTTCTTATTAACCTCATAGTGAGGATTGGGAAACCCACATTGGTAATCAGGAGATATAAATGTGACACTGGCTGCAGGAGGCCAACTCAGGAAGAACTGTCAAGGGCACTGTGTCTGTCTTTCTGTCCCTTTTCCAATTGTTTCTCTTCTGTCTCTGTGTTCTCACTGCCTAGGCATCTAAGGCTGAGAACAAGAAGGAAGATACAAAGGAAGGGGAAAAAAGAGAAGAGGAGAGAAGAAAGAGAGAAAGATGAAGAGTTTGTGGATCCTCATCTACAGTGTGTGCCAGAGCTCTGCCGATACTGCTCATCCGTGAGTAGAATGTTCTGAGTACCTGCATTGGCAGCATTAGGCGGATTCATGTTAGACAGCCTTCTGTCACTATGATGAAATACCTGAAATAAATAATCAACATAAAGGAAAAAGGTTTATTTTGACTCACAATTCTAGTTCTATTTCTAGCTCTGTTGCTTTGGGTGAGGCAGCGCATCCGTGGGGGACCATGTGACAGAGCAAAAACCACTTGTCCTATGGCCAAAAAGGAAAAGAGAGGAAGAAAAAGGGGCTGGGATTTCACAATTTGTTTGAAGGACATGTCCCAGTGATCTGTAGACTTCCTGCTTGATTCCACCTCTTGAAGTTCCCACCACCTTCCAATAGCACCTCCATGGGGACCAAGCCTTGGACACAAGAGTCTTTGGGAGACATTCAAGATTCCAACCATAACATTCTCTTTTTATGTAAAATAACACCAAAGTGGTTGGGAGCATGAAATAAGATAATGTATATGAAGCCCTTATATAAGCAAAGGAAGCTCAATAGTTTCTTAAGACTATTTCATTTTTCTCTATAAAATGCGGAGTGGGGCTATTACCTCCATTTTGTGGATGAAGACACTGGTGGCTGGAGCCATGAAGTGGACTGTGAGCTCTGTGAAGCAGAGGACCATGCCCACCTTGCTCATTGCTACACAGGCACATGCACAGTGAGGCCCAGGGGAGCTCCACTAAGTATCTGTGGTTGAGGAGAACATTAGATTCCACCTGTCTGCATCCAAGACAAGTGTCCTTTCCAATGCCTCATTGCCATCTCCAAATAACTGTTTCTGTGGGTAGGTGAAGAGGTGAAAGGCACAGAGCAGAGAACCAAACAGCCATGGTTCAAGTTCCAAGCTACATACCTGCTTTGTGAACCAACTATAGACATCTGCCACTTAATGATGGGGACATATTCTGAGAACTGTGTCATTAGATGAATCTGTTGCGCAAATATAATGAAGTGTAGTCACACAGACCTAGAGAGTACAGATCAATCGCTTGGCATGGCCCCTGGATGCAATTAAGATGAGGCAGATGAGGCTGCTGCCAGCATAACCTGGCATGCTGCTCTATAAGAAGCTTTCTTTTATGATGGAGTAGGGCTATTACCCTCAGGAGTAAGGGGCTGTGGTTTTGACTCAACAGTAGAGTGCTCGCCTAGCACGCGTGGGACCCTGGGTTCGATCCTCAGCACCACATAAAAATAAATAAATAAAATAAGGGTATTATGTCCAACTACAACTAAAAAATAAATATTTTTAAAAATTTAAAAAAAATAAGTAGGAGTAAGTACATTGCAAAATAATAATAAAAAGTATGGAGCAGTAGATACACAGCCCAGTGACAGAGTCACTTATTAGCAAGTATGATATGCTATACCTGGTTGCAGGTGCTGTACTCCCAGCCAATGGAAAGTAGATTTGTTTACGTCAGCACCACAAACACCATAATGTACTGTGCTGTCATTAGTAGTTGATAAGAATTTTTCAGCTCCATTATAATCTTATGACACCACCATCATATATGCATGCCATCCTGTGTTGATCAGAACATTGGTATTTGATGTATGACCATATCTATTACTTGTTGTATAATGACAATGGTCCCCTTCCCAGTGTAATCCCTTAGGTTTTTTTTTTTTTTTTTTTTTGGTACTGGGGATTGAATTCAGGGGCATTCAACCACTGAGCCACATCCCCAGCCCTATTTTGTATTTTATTTAGAGACAGGGTCTCACTGAGTTTCTTAGCTCCTTGCTATTGCTAAAACTGGCTTTAAATTTGCGATCCTCCTGTCTCAGCATCCTGAGCTGCTGGGATTATAGGTAATGCATCACCCTTAGTCTTTTGATATTCCAAAGTATTTCAAAGGAACTGAGGGAAAAAAATGATTTGGAGACTGGAGCTTTCAAGAAGAATCCCATCTTTGGAGGTCAGTATACTGGAACAGAAAAGAAAGGCTTTGGATAGAGTGAGAATGGTGTGGCTGGGCTTTTTTTTTTTTTTAATTGAACTGGAACAGAAAGAACAAAAGTAAAAAAAGAAACTTGGAGAGGGAGCTAGTAGTTATGAGCAACTGTCACACATTCACCATGCCTGGTGTTTTATATGCGGTGTCTCATTGAATCCTCATGAAGGTTCTATAAGGAAGATGACCATTTTACAGATAAGGAAACTGAGGGTCAAAAAGGTTAAGCACCTTCAACCCATCCTGTGAAATGGCAAAACAAGGCTCATTTCCAGGTTGCTTTGGCTCTGAAGCTCATCTTCTTTGCACAAGGACAGCTGCCTCTCTTTATGATAAAAGAAAACAAACAAACAAACAAATAGATTTGTCAGGCTTTAAAGTTTGCCAAAAAGTTTCATCTTCTCTTGGGTGTCCACTGGGGGAGTGATTTATCTTTGGAAATAACACCCATGTCGACATTCCACTTTCTCTTCACTTGACCTCTTTTTATTTCTTCACACCTATCAGTGTAACGGTGAAGTCTGCAGTTCCCTGAGCCCTGAAATTTTATTCCGTGGTCAGGCTACAAACTTGTGACTCCCTTAAAAATCATGATTTGTGCTCAACCTGAGTTCTTGTAGCAGAGACATAAATAAGCATATTCTTCCTATTTTAAAATACAATATTGATTCTGTTCCTTATAACACGAGAGAGGAGTAAGTGAGAAGTCAGAGTGGCGGCTTAAAAATTGAACCCTGTAAAGTTTACAGGCAATCTACAGTGAGGCTAAATCTAACAGCCATGAAACAAAAAAATAGCACAATCACTTTACAGGGGTTTTCCGGGCGACTCTGGAATTCAAGTGTTCAAGTTCAGCCCGTGTAATAAAAACACGTTTACGATGGTTTGCCAAGAGGAACAGGAGATGGAGAAAAGAACACCTGTATCAGTGAGCATCCTAAAACCAAAAGCCTCCTGAGGAGTGTGCCAAGTCTGCTCTAAAGAGAAAGGATATCAAACCGCATAGGGAACAAAGCCCCTTGTTAACCCAGGCATCCTGCAATCATCATCCATGATCACAGCAAACTTTAATGGAGTACCTGCAACAAAGACAAGGAGCTTGTCAGCCCAGAGGGGCCGAGCTGACTGCCCAAGGCTCCCTGAGTCTTATCCTCTGAGGGGGTGAGACAAATATGTGAACCATAATTATTGCACAAAGACTCTATTTGAGATATCTAACAGCAATACCAGTGAATATTCTTTGGGTGCTTAGGGCAAGGCCATACTCAGTTCTAGCACATTCTTACTCTTCACAATGGCTCTACAAATAGGTGCTGTTATCACCTAGATGAGTATAGACACAGTGAAGGACTTGCTCAAGGTGAGACAATGACCTATGTGGGAAGGGCTATGAGGGTACACTGGAAGAACTGACTAGCTCTGCCTGAGGGCAGACCTGATGCACATAACCTGGATCCTAAGAAAGGAAGAGGAGTTTTCTGGATGAGAAATGGCATAGGGAAGCACATTCTAGACAGCATGTGCCGGAGAAGGAAGGCGCTGGGGAGCCTGGCATACCTGGGGAACCAAGAGGAGCTCAATGCAGGAGAAGCACAGGACTCACAATGTGTGGTGGTCCGAGGGGAGATGGCACGGACTGTGAGGGGCTTCGTGAGTCACCATACGGAGTTTGGCCAATAAGGGGCCAAGCATGGATTTTAAATAAAGGACTGAGGGTAATCTTGCAGTCAAATTTGGTGAGCGTACACTACCCAGAAGAAAATGTAAAGTAGGGAAATGGGTTTGGAGGCTAATCCAGTAACCCAGATGAGAAGTGGTGGCTGAAACTGGGCTAGTGACCAGGGAATATGAAAGATTTACAAACAATACATTTACATATCTGCGGTTATATTTCTGCTTATATTTCTTTCTACTAGGTAGGAAGCATTCATACACCAAAACTGAGTTGGTAAAGACTGAAAAATACTTGTAACTTGAGTATTTACTGAGTAAATTTGGGCTCATCTATTCATTTTCACCAAACACTACATATTTTTAAAAACACTTTTTAGATGTTGATGGACCTTTATTTTATTCATTTATTTATATATGGTGCTCAGAATCAGACCCAGTGCTTCACAACATGCTAGGAAAGCACTCTGCCACTGAGCCACAACCTCAGCCCCAACAGAGTACATATTTTTAAAAGGCTTTATATTGTTCCTGGTACATATTATATACTCAAAATTACACACACACACACACACTAGCCAGGTGACCTGATAATCTAGGAGCTACTCTGAACCTCAAAGCTACAACCCAATGGTTTAATTGAGCACGATTTTTCCAATTTGTAAGGTAACAATTTAATTGTCAAGTGAGAGATAACTGTGTTCAGGTTTAAGGAAGATGAGAATAAGTCTTTCTCTGGCATAAACATCACACCTCAATGTCATCAAGTTGAATAAATTGTCTCTGCCACCCTCTTTTGTCCATAGGGATGTTGGATAACAGAGAACCCAAGCTACCTGCCCATACCCCCACAGCAAGATGATGTAGAAGAAGGAAAATTTTTATATACCATCATATTAGCCTTTTTTAATATTGCTTCTCCTTTCACTTTAAGAGAAAGTTGGGAAATTGTGGATAGAGAGGGAAAGCAAATTCTGCATAAAAGAAAACATTTTTTAAAAAATACAAATGTGGCCTAATTTAATTTCCCATACATGTTTCCACCGGCTTTGGAAAAAAAAGGTTAAAATGCAATTCTCCAAAACGAAGTTATTGGATAGAAGAATATTAACCTCTTCACCCCTTGTACTTTGACTCGTTTTATCTCCTTTTCATTTTTGTTTGTGGGTCTATTCATTTTGGTGAGGCCAGGCACGTTGCTAGGTAACGGGCCCATGGTGGGCCAGAGCGTGAGGCTGGCTGGCTGGCCCCGGTGGCAGACTTCCCTAGCGCTAGCTGCCGGCAATGCAGTCTCTCACAAAAAGCATTTATCACCGAGCAGGCACAGTAATGGCCACTCAGTGGAGGGGAAATTGAGCTGACCCGAAGGCCAAAGCTGTTAGGGAGACTGCTGGGAAGGGTAAGAGGGTCACACACCCTTTTCCCACCCACTTAGTGGGCAGTAAGCGGTGGAACAGCCCAGCCACTGTTTCCACTAACATATCCCGAGGCTTTGCACCTGAAATAAATGTTTGCTTGACATTAACGATAAAAAAAAAAAAAGGAGGCAAAAAATAAAATCGGTTTGCTCCAAGAACAATGAGCTCAACAATGAACAGGGTGACTTAAAGTTAGCCAAAGTCCCCTCAAGGCTTGATGATTTTGGTAGCTTTGCTGGAAGGGAGCTTGGCAGAGATGGGGACTTTTAAATAATTAGTATATCCCAAAAGGGGTCGTTCCAACATTTTTCTAGCTCCTTGAATTTGAAAGTGGAGAAATTGAAATTTGTTTTCCTTGCAAATTGTGCCAGTTTCAGAAGTGTCGAATATTGGTCATTGCCAAATGCATATTATTTTGAAAGCATCTTTCCAAATTCCTGTTTGATTGTATAAGATGTTCCTTCAATATGTACTTATGCTTAGCATGAGCTACAATTTAAAATGCAAAACTTTTTAAAATGTACTTTGGAAATATTGAGTAACAACCCATATTTTAATGTGATGCTTTCCTGTACCATGTTATAAATTTTTCTGGAAATGTTATTCCTACTTCTTTGCCTTTTTTTCAGAATTATTTTACATTAATAAATACTGAATAAAGCAAAATGTCATGATAAAAATAAGAAATACATGAATAATGCATAGGAGAATGAAAATTATTATGAGTAGTATGAAGGTTACACACAAAAATATTTTTGTATTAACAGTGTGGGAGTCTTGGCAAGATTCAATTGTGGAAGAAAACAGAAATGTCTTTCCTACACCATTTACTTTTGCAATCAACTATAGATCATGCCATTTTATATTAGAACTTGAAAAAAATTGTATGAAAAGTTCTATAAGGGGGTTTAAATGTCCTTGCATTAAAAAAGTAAATACTGCGTATTATCCAGTATTCGTTTCATTTTCAGTTAACTTCAGCATTAATCATTATTCGGTTCCAGTATATTTTACTTGGGTATAAACTCTTCTTTCTTTTTTTTATTTTGAATGAGGGACATGTTACTTCCTATCAGAAATTTTTGCTTTAGATCTTCTTAGCTGTGTGATTTAGGCCAAATGGTTTCTCTCTCTGAGCATCAGTCTCCCACCAGTGAAGGGAAGGTGGTACCCACTATAGTTACCTTCCTGAGTGATCATGAGGCTCAGACCAGGTGTTAGGTGTGAAATGCCTTGTGGACGTGAGACAATTATGTTTTGTGAAAAATGGAAGTGTTGGGAGAAACCAAAAGCATGAATGGTAGGTTTTCAACGGCACTCCATGTTTTCTAATTGTTTTGACAGAATTAGGCTTCTAGCCCCTGTAAGATGCCAGTCACCGGCCCATGAGAGCCAATATGTTCTTTCTGACCACTTAGCCTCATTTGGGGATAGGCAGGAGGAATTGCTTCTCTTCAGAAGGAGCAGCGTGAAGGAGCACAAGAAGAGGCCTGTTCTTGGCGCCAGCTCCTCAGCTTTCAAACAACAATATTTAACCAACAAAAGAAGAGACCAAGTCAATCTCAGTTTTAGTGATTCCCCTGAAAGTCATCAAATAAAAATGTGAACTTTAAAATTGATCAGGATTAATTTCACTGACACTGTATCATAACATATATCTCTTTAGAGACTCATTTGTTGAGCTGCAGATGCAAAGAAAGTAAGGAAAGAAATAAATCAGAATACAATAAGGCAATTAGACTTTTGCCATTGATAGAATACTAAAAATGTCTGATTTATCAAAGCATTAACAAACAGAAGTAAACACAAGACTTATATTTTCTTACAAAATACCTAGAGAGGAAGATTAAAATAATAACCAAGACCATGTGTATCAATAAATTTAATTTATAAATATTGCTCCATTGCCAAAAGATACTATTTCATTTGCTAATTTGGAGAGTGCCACAGCCTGGGATGATTTATCAATGACAGTGCTGCTCAGATGTGCACCGCTGTTCTCATCTCCATGGACAATCTCCCACCCAGAAGGGAGAGTTCTAGTGGGTGTAAAGGACAGCTCAAGAAGTAAAGTTACTTAATCTTCACCTGCAATCATGGTCTTTGGTTTGAAAGTAAATAAATGTACGTATAGTACATCTTCTTCACGGAGCTTCAATCCTAGTATGGAGACCATAAGAAAAACAGTTACCTGGGCCCTAAGTGCTTGTATGTATTATCTCATTTAATCCTGACAACAGCCCTAGAAAGTAGGTATTGTTGTCATCCCAATTTACAGATAAGAAAAATGAGTCTGATAGAGGTATGGCAACTTGATTTTAATAAATGTCAGAGTCAGGCCGAGTGCAGTGGCACATACCTATAATCCCAGCAGATTGGGAGGCTAAGACAGGAGGATGCGAGTTCAAAGCCAGTTTCAGCAATTTAGCTAAGCCCTAAGCAACTCAGTGAGATCCTGTCTCTAAATAAAATACAAAATAGGACTGGGGATGTGGCTCAGTGATCAAGTGTCCTTGGGTTCAATACCCAGTATCATACCCACCACCATCAAATGTCAAAGTCAGGATGTGAACCCAGGCCTGTCCAACTCCAAAATGTAAGTTCATAATCACACCCATAAAATGTCTTCAAAGCACACTTGAAATCCTTAGACATCAAATTTCTTTAAAGACAAACTGATGTTCATTACAGACATTGTGTCCTTTAACACGGGCTAATATATAAATCAATTTTGGTAAAAAAATGTTGGTGGTGAAGAATCACAGGAGCCATCAAAATGAAACCCTCATTTCTCAAATGAGGAGGTTGAGCTGAGGATCAACCTCAGGGCCCACACAAGGTAATTACATGGGCATGTGACAGGGAGATAGTTCCACCCAGTCAGTCTTATAAACTTGCCTCCAATAGCTAGTGCACTTAAAAGATCATTCAACACACATCTCTGTTTACACAAAGATGTCAAGGAAACATCAGCTGCCTGGTGAGGTAGAGCTGTATTAGCATCGGGAAATCCACCTGTTCATTCCGCCTGCACCTTTCATTCATTTCATTTGCTGGGCATTGGGATACAGAGATGAGGAGCTCCTGGCCCAGCTTCAAGGGTAATCAAAATCATGTGAATGCCTGTGCATTTTAAGTAATTTATTTGAAATTTAATTTTGAAGACCTACAGAAAGACTGGGGTTAATCTAAATTATATGTTCACTACAACAGAGGCTCATGTGGGTATGCCAACACTTGGCCCCATGAACAAAATGGCCCCATGATTATGTCTGAGCTATTTTCTTCTCAGAGGTGGGGATGGGAGCAAATAGCCTAAAAAGGTCCCTTCCAAGAAAATGGTGTACTCAGGAAAATATTGAATTGCCAGGAGATTCTATCCCCCAAAGGCCAATTAAGCAGGATCTTTATAAATCTTTTGTAACCACACAAGGCATCAGAAAAATATGGGAGAAATCATATTGGTATATAAAAAGGAATCCAAAGAGTAGAAAGTAAAATAATCCAACAACTCTATGAAGAGATGGAAAGAGAACTTGTTATTCCATGAATACCAACATGTATAAACTCCACCAGTTCAATCTTGGGGTGAGCAAATCGAGAAAATGTGGAGCAATGTATAATGCACACATGAGAAAGAGAGAGAGGAGCATAAAATCATCACACTCCCTTGACAACGTGTATCTGCCAAGATGGGATAAAGTCAGAAGCATAATTCTAGGGCAATTTTGATAACAGGGCTATATATTTCTAATTTCAATGTTGCCTTGAACACATCAACAAAAATATTTTATAAAATCTGTGTAATAAGACCTACTGTCATGACAGCCATTTACAAGAACCTATCAGTATTTGGTATAAGATGTGGACTGTTCAAAGCTGTTCAGAGAAGTGTCTCTAATATCAAGCATTTCACTCCACACGGTGTAAAATGTCCAAAGTCTGTCATTAGCATGATCAGTTGCTCATCTCGAATGCCCTGAAATTTTCACATTACTTCTCTGCCATATCTGATCTGTCATGGAAAGTCAAAAGAAGAAAAAACAAAGATTGGAAATATTATGATATTTTGAAAGTGGCAGTTACTTTGGGCTTTTACTTTCTGTATTATAAATTCCTCAGCATGGAGATTTTCTTCCTCATTTGGCACATTTATCAGCTGCAAACTTCTACATGACTATGTACATATTAGCAATAAGGAATTCTCAAGCTCAGGGGATAGAAATTGACATATAGTAAGAAGAAATTCAATAAAATATTTGTTAAATGGATGAAATGCAGAATAATTCTTATTTTCTTCAATCACTTTCCAAATGATACCAGGAAAATGCATTTACAAAGAATTACGTATCATTTTATAATTCATTTTTTGTGCGTGCCGGGGATTAAACTCAGGGCCTCATACGTACTTAGCACGTCAGCGCTTTACCACTGAGCTACACCTCCAGCTTTTTATATAGTTTTCTTTTTTTTATAGTATCAATTTAAAAATATAAACTTTGAGCTGTGCTGAAGAAAGTTCCCTGTTTCTGTTTTGTGCATTACCAAGTCCACTTTAAAACATAATAACCCTATATTACAATAACACGATTATTATTATTATTTTAAAGTGTTTGCCACATTTTTTTTCAGTAGGACACCATTTACTTTATTTACCTAAGTTTTTTCTCACAAACTGGAATTTAAAATGTTATTAGAAATAGTTTCACATTTTAGAAGAGCCTAATTGTTTTATGGGATAAAATAAAATCATCCTAGCTGTCTTCCTCTTCCTCTTCCTCTTCTCCTTCTTCTTTCTGGTTTAATAAGGACTTTTTTATTTTGAGAAAAGAGTTTCCTATGCCTTCTTAAAAGACCAATTACAGATTCTAGTTACCTTTAGTGTCTTCACTGTGGATGTAGAGTATAGACTTAAGGAACTAATTCTTGTAATTCTATAGAGAAGTGATCATCCAAGTTTGTTGTACTTTGCTATGGCAACCCTTGGCCAAACCTTTTAATTCCACCAACATTTCTTGAGTGTGTGTCATGGTAAATTTAAAAATGAATAAAACATAAGATTGTACAAAAAAATAGAATGGAAATGACAACACAGATTAAAAGAACAAGTAAGACAATGGTATACCAAGGGATGGGAGGGAACAGTGGGAAT